ACCGCCGCCCATGAACAACGGCAACATCAGGGGAGTGGCAAATGCGTTGCCGGCCTCTTAAAAAGCAAAATGTCTTTTCTTGAAAGTACCTAAGTCGTTTAGGGTTGAAATATGACTGTAAAAAAAACAATAAATCAGAAGAAGATTTACAAAATGCTGTAAGTTTGAATTGAATAAAATTATGGCAAAAATACAAAAATATAAAACTATAATATGGTTTATCTCTTAAAATGTACATAAACCCTAGTCGAAATGTCATCTGAAGCAATGAGTTATACAAAGAAAAATAATGTTTTGTTTTGTTTTGTCTCTAACTAAAAAGTGTGCCCAAATTTAATATTGGATCAATAAAAATACACAGGAGCGTATTCGTCTATAGCTTTTGAACGAGAGTTGATCCGAGGCTTGTTATTTAGACTAGATAATTTTCACCTTAATTGCGTACTACCTGCATGGTTATAATCAGTACTTACAATATCCTATGGTTTACCTAAATCTCAAGTGTGGGAGCAAATCGGTCTATTTACGCTATCAACACATTGGGGACCTTGCGAATTCGAGGTTTATTTCAAATGCTATTCGAACCTACGTCAAGTGTTCGTTTTACCATCAATTTATAAATTTAAAAATATTAAAGCGAGTATATGCAGAAGAGAGCTGATTTATTTTAGAAAAATTAATGCTATTTTTCACGCCTACATTAAAAATGTTGCTTTCAATCTTTCAATTATAAATTATAAAAATAAGACTTCAAAACAAACTACGCGACAATTTAGTATTTAATAGAACTGTGATTCATACTAAATTATTTGAAACGAAAACATGTAATCTTCGAGAAAACGATGAGTGATTTATTATATTTGGATTATTGGTCACGATGTTAGTGTGCGGATATGGTGTCGCGGATGAGATTCTCACATTTCAACCTTATAATTTTGTGCATGTGTAAAAACTTATATCAGATGACAAAAAGGCAGAGACGGTCTCGTGTGACTTTGGAGTTTGTAGAATTGAACATCCATATTTTATTGGTAATAAAGATGAAGAAACAAAGACTACAAATTCACAATGGTACAAGTATATCACTATGTGGGAAAACCTTGCTTACGACGACTTGGCATTAGTTCGAAGGTCCTTTACTTTGAAAGATTTTAATCGTCCAAGATGTTTTCTTATGAAGTAAAAGATTGGGGGATAGTTGAAAGTTTGTAATCAGAAAGATGCTGCTGCCCTTTTTCCGTTTCAATTTAGGTATGGTGCATCCTGCGAAAGCCACGGGGTTAGAGATCATAGCTCTTTCACGCGGTTTCACTCGCGTGCTCTTTGTTTTAAAAACGTCATGGGAAGGTTGGAATATAAGCTTTTGCACGTCTGTAAACCACATTATAGGTTAATCAAAAAATTTAAAGGAAAACATAATTCCAAGTAATATCGACATTTAAGCGTCAAAGATGCCTTGGGGGAGGCCTATGTCCAGCAGTGGGCTGTCGCAGGTTGATGATGATGCCACGAACCATAAGTTGTATAGTTGCTGCACGAGTTAAGTGGTTTGAAAGAGAAAGAATTTCACTCTTACAGAAGTACAATGATGCTGTACAAGGATGCTGTGTTTTGTCGCCGTTATGAAAATAAGAAAAGATAAAGTTTATTCTTCTTTTTGCTTTCCCGTATTCAATTAAAAGTAGCATATTATATTGCCCTGGTTCATTAACTACTTACGAATCTTATTGCAGGGAAAATGTCTGAGTGATCCTGCCTTAATCATAATACATAGACAAAATAAAAAAAATTGGAGTTTTTTTTTAAATTATAAGAACAGGCACAAATTTTCTGCAGATTTATTATATGTAGAGATACTTACAATCATATTAAACCCATACTGACTCTGGGCAACTGTTTGAGGATTGTTACTGTTTTAGTATTATTATTTTTAAAGGCTAATGTGGTACACTGAAAAGGCCTAGGGATTATTGAAGTAAACAAAAGTAAAGTTACAGCCTATATACGTCCCACTGCTGGGCACAGGCCTCCCCTCATTTCTGAGAGGGTTTTAGGGCAAGGAAGTGTCCGTCGCGCTGTCCCAATGCGTGTTGGCGAACTTCACATGTCTTCGAAATATTTTTTTCTTATTCATCAGACATGCAGGTTTCCTCAACATGGTTTCCTTTAACGCCGAGCACGTGGTAAAAGAGCACTTAAAATTGTAATCAACAATTTCTGACCGCCTTGTTGGTCTCGCGGTTGTAGTAGTGCGACTGCTGATCATGAGGTCCTGGGTTCAAATCCCGGGTCGGGCCAAAAAAATCAATTATTAAGTTTTTCTGTCAAGAAATTCTCAGTAATTGCCCAGTCAGGAAGTTGGCGGTGTCTCACCCCCGTGCCTCGGAAAGCACGTAAAGCCGTTGGTCCTGCGCCTGTTCTCTCACCGGTCGTGTCGGCTTACCGTCCCATTGGATTACGATAGTGAGGGAATAGAGACACTATAATCCTGTCCTGCGCCGATGGCTAGCCTCCGTTGAGGCAGGCCGCCGTGGCCGAAATTCAGTCTGGAGCACATTATTATTATATTTTATGTTAGGCGAATGGCACGCAAAAGCGGTATTAAACCGTTCAAATATGTCATCAAAATTTTGGTAAATGAATGGAAATTTTCGGTGTGGTATCCGTGTTTGAGAATCCGTCATCCATTTCACTCTTAGTATATCGTAAGAGGCGACTATTCAAATGCCAGAACAGCCATTATGGTCTCCTATAGATGGCGGTATGTCATCTCGTTTGCCGCAAACGTGAAATACCCAGGCCGGCGACGAGCAGCGGCGTCGAAGGTGCGAGACGTCTGCTACTGCTGTCATTAATCTGCCTGCCGAGCGTGACAATTCAGGACAAATTTTTCCTGCAACGGGAGAGGTCCGTGTTCAGCAGCGAAATCTACATCCTGATAATGATGATAATGATTAGAACAACAAACAATACTTAGTCCGATCACGATAGTTTGATGAAATAGATTTGCTGGCAGCTTTCAGCTGAAATTTTATATAATATTTAGCGATATATTTTCAGTATATCGCTAAATATTATATAAACAAATTTTGCAAGCATAAGGCAATGTCCCATAGATCGATGCGACTATTATAGATACTCGTCTAGCCGGATTTAAACGCGCTGGCATTCGGGAAAATTCCTGAAGCTTGCCGGTCGTTTGACCCAAATTATTATTAAACTGCAGTCGGTGTTGTAACAAAAAAATATTTTGAAATGATTTGGTAAGCAAATAATACTCAAATGAAATTGTTTGAAAAGTAAACACAAAAGATTAGCAAGAGAGAATTAAAAAAATTATGAAAAATTAGAATAAATCTATGTGTATGTAATGTACCTCAATATAACCGACGGCAAATTAATTCAATAAATAAATTATGGTAATAATTATAAGCATTAAACTGTTGGACTAGGGAAAATTCGTTGCGCACGAGGAGAGGCTCTGTAAAAATGAACACCAGGTGTTTTTGTGCTCCTTGTTGAAGAGGAAGGAATTGAAGAGACGAGGCATATGCAATATGGTCACGATGATTTCCGAAAGTTGGATAGAGTTCAGTAAACTTATAGTATCATATACAATATAATATCATAATATCATATACAATAAAGTGTCTGAGTTGTGTAAAAGGAATTATTTTTCTACAAATATCAACTGCGTGGGTAAGTGCTACCAGTGTGTACTTTATCACGGAAGCGTCACTCGTCTTAACCTATAAGTATGCCTAGCATATGCTGTTAGGGATGTAATACAACCAGATCAATAAAATAGTTAAATTAATAAAAACATCCAGCTGTCGTCCTACTTACTTTGAAGAGTACTTCCCTTCCTCTAACCTACGACCTTTACCACTGCTCCCAACATCACTACACTAATAAAGGTACACAACCGTCAGCTGAAATAGACTCTGCGATGGCTGACCGCTAATCATCGTGATCGTCAGTTTTTTATTGTGTTTTTGCGTTGTCACCCCTGAGGACTAAGATGGAATGTCTCGTTACCAACGAAAAGAGTTTCAGGTTCCCATACACTCGACAGCATTATGCTGCTATTTTATGTTGGCATTCCGTAAGAGTTAGGTCCTTCCGATTTATTATATTTATAGTATAGCTACTACCCCCATAAAACATTATTGGCTTATTGATAGTTAAGTTATCAATAACCCAGTAATGCAATACATATTTACACACATATAAACTAATAAATAAGTGTCAGCCTTTAATATTGAAGTAACTTCCTTTTATTAAGCCGAGGGGTCACTTGCATGACATTGACACATGAATTACCACTTTTTAAATTGTTGGTCTGTTTGTCTGTGTCTGATACTTCAGGACTAGTCTTCGTAATGGCTGAACCGACTGTATTGAAACTTGATGAACAGATAGAGAACAAAGCCAAAGTGATATAAGCTATATTTTATCTCAAAAACTTGATTTTTTATTGAGAAATGAAAAAGTTGACTGCATTCTTTCGTATGGTGATAAGAAACGAAATCTTTAACTTGAAAAGATACGTTATAATAGGCTCATTAGAGTTTAACATTTAAACTATTTTGTAAGCAGAGTCGAATCACTGTAGTTGAAATTGTCTATAGGGAGCCATTTATTATATTTAAGAATGAGAATTGGCTATACCGCTTTTTATAGATTTTACTGAGCAAACTTGTTGTTATTGCTACACCTATGATCCCTTATCCAGCGTTCAGTATAGAATTTGGCAAGAGATCTTCATAAACGCGATGACTACTTCACGAGAGCTGATGACATAACGGGAAGCGTTCCCTTACATCCGTTATATTTATACCAGTCTAGTCTCGACAGGCACTCGCGGACGTCTACCGTGTATAATTTTGTGAATTCGTGTGTCCCTCGTGATAATATTACTGTGACGTATATTAGACGCCGGCGCCACAATAGTTGGCGCGAATGCAGCAGTGAACTCGGTCATTCAATTCGTAACTAAGATGAGTACTTTAGAAGCAGCTCCACATTTACCATCATCGAAGAGGTTATTAAGGCCAAAGATAACTATTCAAATCCCAGACGCTTCCACATCAATGCCAGTAATGAGTCCTCAAACAGCTACCTCTATATACAAGGGCACTCCAAGATACTATACTAAAGCTCCACCCACGCCAGGGTCACATATTTCCGATCCCCATGGAAACCTTTACTATAACCCCTTTAACCAAATGTACCACAACAAAGCGTCGGAATTTATGTTTAAGCAGTTCGAAGGCTTCAAGGATTTTACAATGAACACTGCTAAAAGCGGTCTGAGTGCTGGTGAAAAGTCTGCTTTCTGGTTCTATAACAAGTTAAAACTGTGGTCTAAAAAGTGGTTCACGCATTTGTTCTTGACTTTGTGTTTGGTTGTATACAGTCTGATTGGAGCTGGCATCTTTGCAGCTTTAGAAGGTAAGCTTGTTAATCGTAAACAATTCCAACTAAAAAAATCCAATGTGCTTTGTATGATTATCGATGTCGTCTTGAATCAGGATCATTTTAAATAAAATACCCAAAAGTTTATTTTTGCTGATTTTTCTCTGAGGTCTTATTTTTTTTTTACGAACCGGTGTATATTTTGATGTTCATTCAAGCTTTAAAAAAGCCTAAATTTAATAAAAAGTTTTGAATTTGACTTCGACACAAGCGATATTTTACTGCCACAATAAGAAGTATGAATGAAAAAATTATTCTTATTAAATTAAAACAATAAAAAGGTGGCGATAAAAACCTATCACCTTAAATTAAAACAAATATATGTATATTAAAAAGCAGTTATTGATAAAAAATAATTAAAAACAAATTTTTATGTAGTTTGCCGTTAGTATATCTACCTTAGATCCATATCTGCATCAGGTTACGCCACACTACCTGTTTCCTTTTTTATCTATTTCTCATACTATTATTCTCTACTTTTCAATAAAAAGAAAAAACATTTTTATTGAAGAGTAAGGAAAATGTATTACATAGACAACAAGGCATTTCATCTTAGGATAACACATCTATGGCCTCATTTTAGTGAGATTCGGGCGAATAGCTTTTAGATTGTTTTTCACTGATATTAGAAAAAAGATTTAAGTCGATGTTAATACACTTTTTTAAATAGTATCCTTCACACTAGGAATTTTCACTCTACCTTGAGATCGTCATAGATACATAAATTGCCCAAGAACAAAAATCCAGACCCGGAACAATTATTTGCAGGGCGTTCAAACAGTTGTTTCGTGCGGGATTTAAACCAGCGGATCCATGGCGTCGCAGGCAAACGTTTAGCCAATGCGCTACCGAACCGTCAAGCAATACTAGCTTGTTGTTCATTTTATAAATAAATGTGAGATATTGATGTTGGCCTAACATTTTGTTTGTCTTAATTTGTGTTCGTTTGTTTTGTTTGAATACCAGCGTGAATTAGTAGCTTAATGCTGCTGTGTTTCGCATGGTGAGTGTATAGAACCGGAGACCCTTTTTACTGGAAAAGAGGTATTCTATCTTAGTCCCCACGGGTGACAACACATCTCAATTTTGATTTATAATTGAGGATAGATGTAGATGTCTACGGGCTGCAGCAACCACTTACCATCAGGTGGACTGTGTGCTCCTTTGTCACCCTATCCTATAAAAATGTCTATTTTACGCTTTAGATTAGTATAATATTTATCAACGACAAAACGGGCTTGTAAAATTCGAGTGAGGAAAAACAAATATTGTAGTCGTTAATAGGTAATAACTGAAAAAATATATCAATTAGATATATATTTATATCTTTGTTTATTGTATCTTAATTTTCATGGCATATACTATTTCATACCAGGCCGTCCGCGCGTCTTCACCCCTTTGTTGTCGATATTACTCGCGTTCAAACTAAACAGTTCGCTTCATCTTTCGTAACGCATACTGAAATATTATTCAGTCATCAGTAGATATTTGCTAAGATGACTGAATCTGACAACAGTCATATAACAGTCTGTATTACGCTAAGACAGCGCGATTCACCATCTAGGGTTTCATCATCACTTACCACCAGGTGGGATTGTATCAGGCGCTGGTTTATAATGAGTTAAAAAGAATATTGATTGAGTTAATATTTCAGGAATGTAATAAAAGTCACTAACCTTTTAACGGATAATATAATTTTTCTTAGAAAAGCTTCGTAAGCATTTATTATGATGAAATTATTATAAGTATCCACACATTTCAGCGACAGGCATTTTAATGTCAACACCTACGTGTCTAAAATATCGTATCGAAATTCTATAAAAAAGAATATTCTCTAAGTAAGTTTATAAATTAGTTTTGTGTATTGGGATATAAAAAATAGAAAGTATTATTAGATTTTATAGGGTTGGTTATTACAATTACTGTGTAGTGGCGTAGTAAGGATGTTGACTACTTTACATCGCTCGTGGGTGTCGTAAGAGTGACAGAAGGTAAGAAATCAGTAGATGGAAAGTAGTATCATCTTAATAACATCTAGAGAATTTAAAAAGAAAACTGACTGCAAAGAGTGGCAACTGTGGCAAGCCTGGGGCAGGTTTACATGAACAATTATAGAAATAAACTGCCCCTTATCCTCGGCAGCTCTGCTTTTTCTAGTTGCGATTGCGACCATGGTATCGGCGGTGTAGAGGATCCAGAAAAACTACAGTGAAGGTTTGGTTGCCATTTTTGACGACTTGATACTTTTGTTGTGGTTTTGATGTTAGTGGGATTAATGGTGACGGTGATTCTGCACGCAATTGATGGAGGAGTAAGGTGCTCTCCGTACTTCACTTTTATTTTTTATAAATTAATCAACTTTAACGTCTTTAATATAATAGATTTCCACAAAGAAACGTATTCAGTTAATTGGATAAAGTTTAGGCAAAGTTTTAAAAGTACTCTATGTGGTTTTACGCTTTAGTAAAATATATTTTTATTCTTTTGCATCTACTATTATTTTTCTTTATGCCCAGGGTTGACTGGGAGTGAATGCCAAAGGAAAATAAGTCAGGCCTTTGTGACACTTTTAGAATGATAGCAATAAAACATAAATAAGTAAATAAATGTATAATTTGTTTTTCTTTTACTTAGAAGCAACGAGAGTATGTGACGAGAATTTCACTGGGCTACATTCAGATTCTATTTTCGGACGATGAATGACACTTCAGAGTTCAGAATTTCAAAGTAAACAACTCATGGTCACTTTTAGTTATAACCTGATGAGATTTTCACAGGAAATGTATTAAGTAATGTAATACTGTTTGATATTTTAATTAAAATTTCGCCGCAGCGTTAAGCATTAATTAAACAACCTCTAATTAGATTTTTATTTACGAAATTTCCGTTTCGTATGAGAAAATTTAAATATATATTTTTTTATATCCTTAATTTTAAAAATTGGCTGGCTTATTAAATCGTTCTTGCAGTTTGATGAGCTTTCTATAGAAGTCTGCTACACAAGGATTAATAAGCTCTTAAAAGGCGTTCTTTACTGCTTCTTCGAAATTCAATTTTTAGCATATTAAAATTATCTAAACTGAAAAAAGTAAAAGTCTGAGGAAAAGTCTGAAGAATATGTTGAAGGGGGTAGAGTCGGTAGTCGACGTCTGTTATGCAGTAGGTTGCCGGGCGTTGTCATGAGAAGCATTCACGATGAGTAGTTCACTAATCTGGGTTGTTTGTGTGCCAGCTTCTCCACTATGATTTGCAATTAAAGACATATCCGGGGCGTTCAGAAACTGATAGCCTGCTGTAAATTTTGGTTAAATTATGGTATAAATTGTGGTTTTGGATGGGGCTTCATCACCAAATACAGAAATCATCCGGTCAACACACTGTTTTTGTGTTAAACCACTTCGAAAGTCATAATAAATCATCGCTCTTGAATTTTCTCGAGTCAATTCCATTTTCTCAATGACTAAACAAGTTTGACAAAACCTTGTGACAACACCGAGAATCCTTTTTTTAAATAAATAAATGGTATGCGTTTTTAAAAACCAAGGAGTTTTCAATTAAAAAGATTTTAATATGACAGGAACAGTGGAAATATTTCATTCCCGATACTTTTAGTGCAGAGTAGTAAGCAAGGCTTTATACGTCGAGAGTAGAGAGAGAGAGAGAGGGAGAGGGAGAGAGATATATAGAGAGAGAAAGTGCAGTGTAGAGCTCAACGGTAGTTATGAGAATAGTATTACGCGCACAGATTCCCCATTTCAGGGTGTCACAAATACGAGAGGCTTTCAATGTATTCACGGTAAGGGTTATTAAGGCGTGTTAAAAAAATTATGAAATATTTTTTTATTTTTCAATATAGTCTACCATGATATCAATATATTTACTTGATCGTGAAAAAAGCTTTTCTATTCCTTTGAAAAAATATTCTTTGTCTTGCCCTGAAAAATAATCATTTACAGTGGATTTTTTTTCATTATTATCGTCAGCAAATCTCTGTGCTAATGGTCATTTTTAAGTTTGGGAATAAAAAGTAGTCACTAAGGGCAAGATCGGGGCTATATGGTGGGTGGTTAATTACCTCAAACCCGCAGTCGCTTACAGCAACTTTGGAGAGCGCCGTATGTACCGGTGTTTTTTTTTCTGCGTACTATTTGTTACGTATTATTTGTCTGCGTTGATGGTTTCATCTTTTTGTGTATGCTGATCCCTTTTTTTGTGCCATTGCGTAGACTCCTGTTTAATCTCAGGGTCATAGTAGTGAACAATAGTTTCATCTCCTGTAAATATCGTATCAAAAACATTTGTTGGGTCGTCACCACACAAAAAACTAAACTGTTCCAAAAACTACCTACACCAGTTAATCCGCGCCTGCTTTTGAAATGCAGTGAGCATGTCAATCAATTAGTCATTTCTGCTAACATCTTAATTCTTACTCGTGAATCTTCTAATACAAGATTTTCAATAACTTTCACATTTTATTCTATAACCGCTGTGATTGGCCCACCCGGACGGGGGTCATATTCAATGCTTTCTGTGCCTCCTTTGAATTCACTTGACCACTTCTGTATGAATGACATTGAAAGAACAGAGTCTTGGTAAACGGCCAACATTTTTTATTTGATGTTTTTTGAGTTTTTCCTTGTTTAGTGAGGAATTTAACTACCGCACGGTGTTCGATTTTTTTCAACACTGTGGAGTCAGTGATTCCCGTCATCTATGACTGAACTTACATAAGAAGTTATGAAGTTGTGTAGATGAAGTTTCATATTTATACCTTGAGGTAGTGTCGCTAGCAATTTTTTTTATTACCCGCATTATAAGCAAATCACCCTAATACCGAGAAAACAATGTTATCTTGCCCTTGCCTTTGGAACCTGTCCCTTTGGACTAAACAAAGGTAGGGTTAATATCTTTTACAAAACCTCATAATGTGTTTGCGGTATTTATTGTAATAACACCAATACTGCTTGTTAAGAAATAGTTCTTACTGATTAAACCATTTTAAACAAAATACGGTTTATTCCTAAATTTTTTTAGTTACATTTTATAAAGAGAGTTGAGTTATGTACGACAA